AAAGACAAACAAGGAAAGCCGAATTAGTAGGGCAAGTAATAAATAAGAAGGCAATGGTGGTCATGGGGCGGTGAAGAAGAACAAGGAATTAGGGTGGTGATGGGTAAGAGACGTTGTTAGAAGAAAACAGTGACAAAGTATAAGATGGTTACAATGGAGAGAAAGATGGAAGCAATAGAGAAAGTCCTAAAGGTAAGGGAGTAAACGTTATAGCGCCTCATAGTATTGTAAGAATAAACATCTATCTCATAAAGTTGCAACAAAATTTTTTTACAACAATTGTACAATACTTTAATTGGGGTACCTACAGTGCTCCGATTGTGAGATTGATTGTTCATACCTCCCGTAATCCACACGGTAAACAGCCCTAACTTGTCTAGTCCCCAATGCACCCCTAACTCCTTCCAATTGCTTCATTTTGGTTAAAAAAATTGACTATTACGCCAAAAAAATGCAGAGTATTCCATTGGAGGGAGTGCAAGTGTGATTTACGGGTGGGACGGGCCGAGGAGGTTTACCAGGAGGTTACGGGGGTAGGAATAATCATATTTACGAACAAAGCACCGTAGGTTCCCCGATTGCATTGAGTTTATGGTAAATTTTTTGACCATAATGAAATTTGGTACAATTAGAAGGGGTCCGGGGGTGCGTTGGGGACTAGACGAATATGGGTTGTTTACCGTGGGGGTTACGGGAGGTATGAACAATCAATCTCACAATCGGAGCACGGTAGGTACCCCAATTAGAGTATTGTACAATTGTTGTAAAAAAAATTTGTTGCAACTTTAAGAGATAGATGCTTATTCTTACAATAATTGTTTACATCATTTCTTACAATAACGCAATCGCTGCACTTATGGTGCTCTGTTTGTAAATTTTTTTTGTTCTTACCCCCATAGCCGCTCGGTAAACCCCAAACTTGGCCCAATCCTAACCCACCTATGCGTCTCCTCCAATCGCACAAATATTTATTTTTGACTTTGTGGTCAAATATATGACCAAAATGATCGGTATAGGAATTGGAGGAGACGCAGGGGTGCGTTAAGGCCAGACCAGGGCGTGGGGGTTTCTCGGGCGTTATGGGGTAGAAACAATCTATTCTA